TCTCTTTCCCTTATAGAAGATATTGTAAGAGCAGGGGAAGTGTTAAAGCTGTCTATCCTCACAGCCTCGCTGCTCCCACAAAGGCTTCTACACCTACGACGCTTTCATCACCGTAGCTTGATCCTTCGATGGCTTCGGCACAACCAGCAACAATACCACTTTGCAAGAGGGAGTTCACTGCTTTCTTGGCTCAGACGTCTCACAAAACTACAAATTCATGTATATGTAAATATGTATAATACGTGGTCTGTGTTTGATATTCGTGTATGGATATATATAATTAAATTGGTGTGTTGTGTTTAGGAGGAGGAGGGTGGCTAAAAGCACTAAATGGTCCATATGCTTGGGGTTATTGCTTTATGACTGAATGAGACAAAACAAATGCTTATTGTGACCCTCGAGAATGGCCCTGTGCTGCTAATAAAAAGTACTCCAGCCAAGGACCCATTCAACTCACACAGTAAGGACTATGGTCCTTATTATAAGGGAAAGGTTAGGGTGTACTCATCTAGTAATTTTTACAAGTCATTTCTATTGATTTTATTAATATTAATGTAAAAAAAGATAAAAAAATAAAAGTGTATAAAATTTTAATATGTTCTTATATAATAAATTTAAAAAATAATGTTATGTTATTTTTTCTCTCTTGTGAAGGATAATTTTAAAAATACATTTTAAATATTATCTAATAAATTGCACTATGACTTATAAATGACATCAAATAAATCTTATAGAACCTATCTCATAAATGAAATTGGAAGGAGTATTTTACACCATATTCCAGAAATAGTTTTATGTTTTCCAAAATAAAAAAATTAAAAAAATATGTTTAATAATATTTTTTACAAATGTTTTGAAAAAAATTAAACATTATTTTTAAAAATAAAAACAAAAAAAAATATCTTTTAACTGGATTATTATTTTAGAGAATAAAAAATGTAAAAAATTTTTTGTGAAAATATATTCTATAAAACACGAATAATAAAATGAAAATAATATCAAGCGCTTGAATTTTTATATTAAGAATGAGAAGGAGTACTCACCGTTAACTAAAGGGATCACTCCAATTGCCGCAACTGTGAAGTTGACTTGGTCCACTTTGACTTGTTTTCGTAACTACAAATACAACTAGTCTCTAATCCCGTGCATTGTACGGGCATGACCTATATAAATTATTTATATAAATAGATGTTAGAAAATATAAACTTTTAAAATTTTAATTCTTACACAGGTTTTAATATAAATTTAATTTAATTTAATGTGAAAGATGTTGTTAAGGCAATGAAACATCAAGTCAAAGTAGGAGATTCTAATTAATGAGGATTGCAACTCCTATTGAAGCAATAGATTATAATGACAATAAACAAACCATGGTAGACTAAAGAATTCTATAATCATTGAAATGTATATTACCACTGAATAGGCAATGACAGTCTCAGTATAAATACAATCTCATTTGATTCTTTCAAAAAAAAATGAATTCACTGGAGATTTTAGAAAACTTCCTTAAAAATAACATTTATTGTGACAGTCTTCGGTTTGAAATCTTCATCATGTATAAGTATTTTAAGTCCATCCATTGATCTGAGCCTGGAAAAAGCAACATAAAGCTGGCCATAAGAGAAAACAGGCTTAGGTAAATAAATACCAACATTTGACAAAGATTATCCTTAACTCTTATTTATTGTCATTGCAAATGATAGAACGCATAGAAACTGTCTCCTTTTCATTTGAAATGGTAGATTGCATTCAGAAAGATTCAAATCCATTTGATGAATGTAGGCTTCTTCCCCAGACTTTGATCCATTAAGTATGATTCCTTTTATAAAGTGGTCTCCCAACAAAGTAACACGAAGCCTTGTTCCATTACATAGTCCATTAGCTTGATTAATATTTCATATTAGCATGATAGGAACTCCTACTTTAAAAGTCAATTTGTGAGGAGCCAATCCTGAAGGTTCAATTGTGTTGAGGAATTCAGTGTCATAGATGTCATCAAATGAATTTGAGCTGTAGTCAGTCTTACATATTGAATCTGAACTGAAGTATGTAATAGCCTCACCTAGGAACTGTGAGTAAAAGAAATTATTTAACTGATCTACTATTTCCAAGTTGGAGCAAGAATTGCTCTTTCTGTGAAGAATTATGGCTTATTGTATTTTTCACATAGCTTTGGATAAATGGAGTCAACAATAGCCTGCAATGGATTAAAGAAGTTAGTAATTAACAACTCTTCTGGAATAGTGATATCATATTTACCATTAGATGAACTACTGTGATCTCTATCCCCAACACTAAGAAGCCATTTTGAAAACTTAGTTATTTTATCCATTTCACAACTTGATGTTGTAGTATATAACCTCATATTTTTTGTGAGCTTAAATATCTTGCATTGATACCAAAGATATGATGAGTTTAAAGATGCATTAACAACATCTTCTCTGTCACCCCCAGGCAGTATAGGGAGTATTTGGCGGAAATCACCTCCAAAGACCACAACCTTTCCTCCAAAAATTCTGTCATCACACATTATATCTTTTATAGTTCTATCAAATGCTTCAACACAATGCTTCTTGACCATAGGAGCTTCATCCCACACAATTAAATCAGTATTTTGTATAAGTATTGCAATAGCTGATCCATGCACAATATTGCAAGTAGAGTCTTTAGTTACATTTATGGGAATACAAAACTAAGAGTGGGCTGTTCTTTCAGAAGGTAGTAATGTTGCTGCAATCCCACTGGGAGCAACATTCAAGACAATCCTTTTTTGGGACCTTATGAATGCAGTGAGAGCATTCCATAAAAAAGTCTTCCCAGTCCCTCCAAAACCATAAACAAAAAAGAATGAACCTTCTTTTGAGTTCATTGTAGACAGGATTTTTTCATAAATCTCTATTTGTTCTACTGTTAACTATCACTCAAATCTGTATCTCTCAAAAATGTACAACTCAGTATCAAAACTTAATTCTTCCATCATCAAGTTGTTGACATTATCATAGTTAATGCTACATTCAGGCTTTGGCATCATTCGGAAATCATCAAGTGACCTTCTATTTTGCATTAACATTTTATTAATCTCTGTAAGAGAAGCATTTTCCTTATCTTTGTCTAAAAAAATATTACCTGCAATAAAGATAAGGTCAACTATGAAAAATAGAAACTAATTTGCATGTGGTTATAAGAAAACAAACAACAATATCAATATGCGTGGAAATATAAGTTATTTCATTAAAAAGACACATACTAGAAGTATGCTGGTCTACATGTGGACTATAAAAAATATCTTCATAAATTAGACTTAATACTTCACTCCAAACATGTTCAGGCTGGCTAAGATAGTTATTCATCAACATGATTGAAAAGAATCTTCTAACGTATAAGCCAGATGCCCAAACGGAAGCCTCTTTAATGGCATCTATATACTCTTGATCATCATCTAAAAGTCCTAGAGCATAGCATGCTGATCTAAAAGTTGGAAAGGCAACGTTATTAACAGTCTTCAACTCTTCATATGACTTCGGACCCTTTACCTTAGTTAATAAACATCTCAGATAGTAACTTTCTCCCTGAGAAGGGAATGCATGTGCAATTCTTCCAATTGAGAACCCTCTCTTACGTGATTTCCAGATCTTAGTTTTCTTGTCAAAAACATAATGAGTAGGAAATTCTGCATATGTGAGAGTTCTTGTAACATCATCTTTTTCATCAACATTCTTTTCATCCAAGCTGTAAACATGGATTCTTTTATAGTAGCTCTATCCATCAAGCTTGACACATTATCTTTTGCTTTGTATATTATTGATTGTCTATTAGGAAGATGGTAACTTAATCTTTCAACTAATGGAAACCTATGATGGATATCAAATCCAAAAATCCTCCAAGAACCTTCACATACAGATATATATTTGCAATTTAAATAATTTGCAATCTTATCAAAAACTATCTCAGAATTGCTATCGTTATTATTATTGTACAATCCTACTATAACCCTATCATCCCCCTTGCTAACATACTTGAATAAATACTTTATTGATGTAGACTGATTGGTCTTCTCAACATTTATATGGGCTTGAAACAGAAGTAATAACTTAGGATTGTAAGGTATAATAAAATGATTGTTTAAAACTACCCCTTTCTTAATGATCCTCCTTCTATCATTCCTCTTACAATAAGTTGGATAACCTTTCTCATCAATAACAGTTCATCAACAAATTTTATAGGAAAGTACTTTGTACATTTACCATCTTTCATACATGCAGATGTTGGATTTGATCGACCATATGGTCCATGAGTCATGTAGTTGCATACTAATTCATATAACATTGGATCTTGATCCTTATCTGGAATTTCTATTGAGATTAATTTATCTACCTCTTCAGGATTCTTTAATTTGTCCTTATCTTCCAAAAATAAAATGATATGAGCATATGGTAGTCTATACTTTTAAAACTCAATTGTATAAACTTTTATATCATTTAGAAATAAATGAGGATGAAATTAGAATCAAATGATTACCATAGTAAAAAAAATAATGAGACAAAACATTAAGTTTCCTAATAACTTAAGATAGTTAAACTACTTGCTTTGATAGAACCAAAAATCTTTTTGTCCTTAATAACCTTTATTAGTTTGTTCAATTTGAATTGGAAGATTCTGCTCAACAAATCTGGACGATCACTTGGCGATAAATTCTCCTTCTCACAATATCTTTTAATTTCTGGCCATACTAGATTACAAGTAAATGTGATGAAAATATCTAGATATCCAACCCATCTACATATTGCCATTGCATCATGATAGTTGTTTATCATGTATCTAGCTCCTCCTGTAAAAGAGGAGGGAAGAATAATTCTTTTACCAGTTGCAGCAGCTGCAATTTCCCCTCTAATTAGTGCATCTAAAAGACCTTGATACAAGTCAACCCTTAGTTCATGTTGATGCATACGAATAAAATCTAAACGTTGACTCTCCATCATAGCATATCCATCAACTATAAACTATTGTAAGAGCTTCCCACCATGAAGTAGCAGTGAAATTTCATTGTCTCTGTCCATCAGTCTATAGCACAAATACTCTCTTATTGAGAGAGTCTTTTTCTTTAAAGTGTTTGCTACGTTTTCTTCACTACGTTGAATGTGAGGACTATAGCCATTATCTCCAAAAGGAAACAATAAAGGGAGATAGGACTTATGAATCTCATCTATTCTTTTCAATTGCCCATATTTTTCAACTATTATATCATGTTTCTTGTTGTTCTCATCAAAGTCTCCAACTACAAGAGCTGCAACTTTTGAAGTAACTGGCAATGAGTAATTCCTTGCTTGTATATTGTCTTGTCTTATTAATGCTATTTTAACTTCAGCTTCCAGAAAATCTTTCAATACATCTCTTGCCATTCTGTACTTCTTAACCAAAGCATTTTTTGAATCTAAAATTTGTTTGATGTAAGAAACTATGAATGGATCGAGTTTATCCTGTCTTGAATTTTTACTGCAGGAAACAATGCATTTAATTAAGAAGAGTTTGTAAGTTAAAGAGATTAATGAGTAAGAAATAATTGTATAGCATAATACCTCACAGTATTAATTCTATTTGTAATTTCATTATCTGTATCATAGATATACAGCTGTGAATAAACTGGAGAAGCACCAAGTAAGGGTACAAGACTTCCTAGACGATGGTAATTTTGGCCAGTAAGAACAAAAGTGTAAGGTCCTCCACCATTGTTTAAATCATGATTAATCTGACCCCTCATTGAAGTGAAACAAAACATATTGTTATATGATCTGATATTCTTATGAAAGGATTTGAAATATGGAAAATCTTTGTTAAACCAAAGCTTCTGTAGCTCTATTGGTGTGTCTTTAAAGTTTTGAACTTGAACTTTACCATGACAGTAGCACATTGAAAAGATAGAATTGGATTTAGTTGATGCACGCTTTAGTCGCTCAGGAAACCATATTTTTGCTTTGCAATGTTCATATTGATATATAGCATCTCCGTCATCCAAGTATACTAACACAAGTGGAATTTGGATTAGTGAGATAGAAATCATCTTAAAATACCCTACATAATTATGACAATCTAAAATGGGTAAAAATTGAATATATAATTGCTTGAAATCTGATTTGTGCGAGGGTCAGGATTTTGTTCATACAATTCTTCAACAACAGTAATGTCTTCAGTAACTGCAAAAGAATTCACTATCAAAATGGAATTGATAAGAATACTAAAAATATTATAGCATTGTTTAACATCCATTATTATATTTATCAAGGATAAATATCATTTTCTTGGATATTAAAGTATGTAAAAGAAAAGAAATAAACGAAATCCAAACCTAGTAAGTAGGCAATATTTAAACTTTCATTAAGATTAGTTGAAATAGCTCTAACTGGGCATGGAATATGTGCTCTGGAGTTATACGTGGATTGCAGATTTTGATTAATGATAGTATTTTTACTGATGACACGGTTCTGAACAATAGGATTTGAATTCTCTTTATGTGGATATGAAGTAATTGGATAATGGAAAGTATTAGGATTAATGTGTTTTAATTTGAAGGAAGACCCTACTGAATGTTGGAAATTTGATTTGCTCTTACTTGTATTGCAATCAGATTCTATGTGGACAAAGACAAATACAAGATATATGATTAATATTGATATTGATATTAATTTCATGATTTGTAAAAATATCATTCCATATAAAATAGATATATGGACAGAATATTAACCATTATGTATCACTTTTAATGGTATTCTACTCATTATTGGTGACAGAAAGTGGAAAGGGACAGTAGGACTATGGAATGATATTGTTAAGCTGATCGAACTTGCAAGTTGATTAACAAATGGATCTGATCTTATGACATTTAGAACTTCTGCATATTGGTTCTTAGTAGACTGAGAATCTAAAAGACAAAGAAATCTTGTTAAGAACTTAGAATAAAAAAATATTTAGGCTATGGAATTAAGGACAATACTAATATTAGTTGAGGATGTTTTACCTTCGTCAGCATCATTAAGTTGCTTATAAATAATTCTTTAATCTAAAGATTTCATCAACCTAACTGCTTTCCTCATTTGAATGACTGAGTTTCTACCTTTAACTTTCATTAGTTGTGCAGTAGCTGAATACAAAAATATTTAATTTTATGTAATTAAAATTTAAACTTAACATCTAGTGGATTTAATCTTTATGTTATTGAGAAGTTATCAAGTAATTTATAAGAAAAATATTATCACCATTTGGTATCTCTTTAAATGGAGTTCTAATCAAATATTTTGTCATTTCTTGAGTAGAAGCTGCATAAGGTGTCTGGAATGTCAGTGTTGAGACAAAGGGACTTGTAAATTGATTTTCTGCATAACCCTTCCTTATAGTGAGAGGTCTTGAAGAAGGCATAAACCATGACATGAATAAAAAATAATACAATCATAAGGCTTGAAAAATAAGTATAACATCTATTTCTCAAATAGATATGTTACCATTGTCAGTAGCAATATTCTGATGACTAACATTTGCTTTAATAGTTTTTGAAATAACCCCTGCTTTCCTCTTTTGAAGGATTGACTCCATATTTGATTCATTCTCATCACTTTTATCAACTTAAGGCAAAAATTGAAGAATATTGGATGTAATTAATACATCTTGTAGTTTAAAGATATCATATATTACTATCTGAATGAACTATAGTTGAAAACTTAAAATTTTACTGTGAGAAGGTTTGTGCACATCATTCATATCAACACATGCTGATGACAACCTAACTGCTCTCTTGGAAGGATTTACAGACTTTCATATCAAATAAAATGATAAAATTCATTCAGTCAAGGAAGAGATAAAAAATAATCATCATGATATTATGATAGTAGACTAAATATAATACTAAATTATAAGTTTCAAAGTGAAGCATAAATCTGAATGAAAGTATATAAGGAAACAGAGGAGACAAAAGAGAAAGGGATAAAAACCACCTGAATTGTTCCATTCTTGTTTGCTACTCATTGTGAGAAGAAGGAAGAATATGAGATTTGATCAAGAGAAGATTGTTTGAATGATAGAACAGATGAATGCCACAAAGAGAGTTGTTTATGGCTTTTGTTCATCATCCAGATGTATGGAATGTAATAAACAAACTATTCACTTAACAGAAAGCTGGTTTGTGCAAGGATTTGTTCTATTTTCCCTTTAATTCTATATATTTAATCATTAAATTTTTTAAATAATTGGTTGACTTTAAATCAGATTACCAAAGAGCACGCTTTTTCTAATATCATTAATGTAAGACATTAAAAACATATACCTAATACATGTGAGATATTAAGAGATAATATAATTTCAATACACTAAATGGACTTGCTGCATTAGATAAATGATCTAGGGAATGTGAGAGGTATTGAAAATAATATATAATATAAATCACAACATTTTATTGAAAAAGAATGTAGCATTAGTTTTCGAATTATCTAACCTATTTTCTAATTATACCTTAAAGCATCTTAACAACTATCATGATTAACTGTGATAGTATTAATTAACCACTACAACAAACAGCATAGGGAATTGGTTATCGTTTAAAAACTAATGTAAAAAAATTAAATTACAAATTACAAATATAAACAATCAAGGAATTAAAAAAATTAAAAAATGAATGTAAAGAAATCCTTTAAAATGAATTAAATTATGAATCTTGGATATTAGTAAGGAATTAAAGTTAAAGGAATTTAAAAAATCAATGTAAAGAAATCCTTTATACAAAATCTGATATATGAATGTTTTTGTTTAAATTACAAATTACAAATATAAATAATCAAGGAATTAAAAAATGAATGTACAGAAATCCTTTAAAATAAATTAAATTACGAATCCTGGATATTAGCAAGGAATTAAAGTTTAAGGAATTAAAAAAGTGAATGTAAAGAAATCCTTTATACAAAATCTGATATATGAATGATTTTTTTTTTCATTGTTGTACCAGGAGTTGTAATCCATGCTCTATGACTTACTTTTATTAATTAATTTTATTAATAAGAAACATAATAATTTAAAAAGTATGGACTTTAAAAGTCTTGTCCTTAAAATGAATAATCTTTTTATATTAACGTGTGATTATCTTGCATGTTTAATTCTATGTAAGCAAATTAATGTTTAAAATAATGCAAATTGTTAAATGGAATGATTTTTGTTTCTTATTTGGTGTTGGGTAATCTGTCAAACATCTCATCTCATGGAACATTCCAATTGTATGATTTTTGTAATGAGTGTATGTTATGGAATTTAAAACTTCAACTGAAAGAGCATTTAAGTAATAACGGCAACATATAACATTCAAAATATGGCAAAGGAGGTTGAAAGATGGACAAGGTGTATCTGTTGAACACACATATGGTTCTGTCAAAGGAACAAAGACTAAACTGAAAGCACATAATTGAAAAGACCAAGCAAATTGATGGTTCTAACAAAGGAATAAAGTCTTAAGTGAGAACAACATAACTGAAATGACAAACTAAATGAAATTAAGGACATCAAAATAAAACAAAATGATGACAGGAGATAAATCCTATCAAACTACAGAATAAGTCACTTTTCTTTCTTGATAAATGAGGATTTTTAGTGGAGCTAAAATTGGGTGTGGATATGGCACCAATCCTTACACCAACTTCTTCTGAGGACATATGCACGATGTTCAACCTTTTTTTTGCATTTTGGTGTCAAAAGGATTGGCTATCTCAGGAGTTGAAAACTCTTCTTCATTATCCAGCTTAGAATGCTAAAGAAGTTTCTTCGATCTAGATGACTCAGAAGGAGTAAAGATGATGCCATTAGATATAGGATATGGAGAAGGAGTAAGCTGTAATTTAATGAAAAGAAATCATAAGATCCTTGAGAGATTACAATTGAACTCATAAAAATTTAGAATGAGAACAAATGTAACAAATTGACTAACCTGAATTTGGTCATCTTCACTTAGATTAACCAACTTTTTAATACATGGATATCACATAATAGAGTAATCAGTAATTAATTTGATGAAAGTAATATTCATAAAATATAATCTTAAAACTGATAGAAATGTACCTGAGTTTGTGTATATGTAAAACTATTAACAATTTCTTCATCTACAGACTGTTGGGAGATACTAATACCAGTAAAATGGTTTCGAATATTGTAATCAGTGACCTTAAGCATTAATACCATTTCCTTGCCAACTAACTTGTTGAGAATTCTTGGAAATGAAGATGGTCTTTCCTGTAATATTAAAATTCATTTTTTATTATTGCATAAAGATTAAGATGGTCTACACATAAGACAAAACTATGATTCCTTCAACATTTCCAATTTTAAGACACAATATCATATCTCCAGCATCACCTACAACTAACAAATTTGTTGGAAATAAAGGAGGTCTAATAATTCTACTCCATTATAATGTTTGGGATAAAAATTTTATCAATTACAAGTAAACACATATACTTCTATGTTCTAACCTTTTTTTGCATAGTAAGGAGATCAGAAGCAGTTTTTTCAAAATGCTCCACAGCAAGACGATTGAAAAATTCTACTGAGCAATGTCCAGAGAAGTCACTTACAGTGTAATGAACTTTAAACCTAACAAATGTGAAGAAGCACCAGTCATCTAATTAGTTTGTACACAAATAAACTTCAAAATGAAGGAATAATGGTATATGTCAGTCTGTTCACTTCTTCTTACTTTGGTTCTAAAATTGGGTTCTTTAATTTACAGGTGCAACAGAAAGATTGGTCATTCTCATCTTTTCTTGGTTTTACATCACAAGGACGACAACCATCATAATACCATCTATCTACAGTCTCCATCTTTAAAATTTTGCACTTTATAACAACTTCGCTTTGCTTTTTTTCCCATTATAGCAGAGAAATAAAGAATTAGATGATATTGAATTAAGTTTCAAAGTTGAATATAAAAAATACATGACAGTGTAAAAGATATTACAATAAAACAACAACCTTTTCAAGTAAGCCTAAGTTGCATATAGGAATCCTTATTAGAAAGGTAAGGAGATAATTAGGACTGAAATAATCAACTTTCTTAGTAGAAACATTGGAGAAGGCTTGTGAAAGTTCCTTAGAATTACTAACACTAATAAAAATTAAAGAGAATATCATAATTGCATGAAGTGAAAAAAGATGTTTAATAGAATTAAAGCAGTTGAGGGACTACATTTTCAAGAGTTTATCAACCTCCATAATAGGAGGATTGAAAAGGACACGAGTAGCATGACCACTATTACTGAGTTGAAGTTGAGCTGAATAAATGAAAAAAACAATAAATCTAGTTACTTTGCAATGTATAGATAAATTCGGTGGCAAATTTTGAAAAGCCATAATTAAGTTCACCTTTATAGAAACCAACAGCATAAAGTTGAATAACAACAACTATTAGAGATTCAATAGCAGATGTTCTTGCTTCATAAGCTTTATATGCACAATCACCAAATAATGTAACATTGATAGACCTCTCCCTGGGGAATTAGTAGTTAAAAAAAAAGAACCTTTGATGTGATACAGATGATAATATGACTATTAAAATTATTAATATAATTGTGAATGAAATTCTAAAATTATATAATAAAAGTACTAAAAATTACTATTCATCAGCAATTGTGAATAAAATCCTAGACTTCTGTTCTAGTCCAAACTTATGTTCTTGAATGTGTCCAAATCCTTGTAAAAAACCAATAACATCTGAAACAGTAACAAAAAATGTGATTGAAAATTATGAAAGTCAATAATAGTACCATATCAACATTCATCAAATGTAGAACATGATTAAAGTGGGAAATACCAACTAAATGATCAATATTTGTTTTGGATTTTTTAGTGTCAGCTTTACTAATAATCTCATGAATAGGGATAAAGTTGAAGCCATAGGTAGGAATGTTAGCCTGATGCTTTTGGACAAATGTGTTTGCATGAAAGTTAATCTTCCAAGGATGAGTGACAGCCTTGTTTTTTGTATTTGGAACAACCCTAAAATTCTCAATGAAGTAAACACTTCCTTCAGCAAGTTCACTTTCAAATTGTTTAAGAAGATATTTGGATTGTAATAAAGCTTGAATCTAGCTTCCCTATACAGATCAGGAAAATAATACAATAAATATCACTATGGAACATGAGTGTCTGTATTGTTGATTACTCAAGTAACTATGCACCAACAAAAGGAAAAGTAATACAGAATACCTTCTCATCAATCAATATGAAGGACATGTTCCAAGTGCTGTGTGGAGGTTTTCTTTGGAATAAAGGCCACTTCCTAAGTACCCTCACTGCAATGCACCAAGTTTCTTAAGAGTCGTTGATATTTTCTACCAAGTCATATTCATCAAATGTCATATCAGATGCCATTAAGACAGATATAGCCAAGAAAGGTAGAATACAGATCAAAAAATATTTTTTACCAAAACACATACTTCCAACATGTGAATAGGTTACTTTTATATTAGGATAGAATTGTAGGAATTATAGGAAGTCAAGAGTCAGATAATTCGTGAACTTTCTTATTTCTTTTTTATTAATATTTTAAGAAAAAATTGGTATTGGAAATGAAAATGCATTGGAAGGAAGTAATTGAAATTGATGTAATCTGGTAAGGTACCAAGAAAATTATGAGATATGCTGTAATGGGAAATGGAAAATTGTCATGGGAAATTGCATACAGAAAAAATTAGATGGGAAGAATTACAAAGATTAATTGATACACAAAAACATAAATGAAAGGGAATTTTCGTTGATGTAAATATAAATGTTGAAAATCTCATAAGGGGCCAGAAAAATTATGAGATATACTGTAATGGGAAAATGGGAAAATGTTATTGGAAAATGTCATGGGAAATTGCATATTTTAAAATTCACATAAGAAGAATCATGAAGATTAATTGACATAGAGAGACATAAATGAAAGGGGATTTCCAATGCACATAAGCTATCATGCCACGACGTGATCATCAACAGGTGGATGCATTCTGCTGTTGACACGTCTGCACGTAGAGTGCTAGGCTATGGTGTGATTACCAACATCATTAGCGATAGGGTGTAGTGCGGGAAAGGCCAAGACGAGAAGGTGGCAGAGAGGATAGGCTTATGTAAAAAGTACTGTGACATGTTAGGGGTTATATTTACTGTTTCTTATAACCGTTAAGACAAAGAGGGTTTATCTTCTTATTCTCACTTGAGTTAATAGCCATTCCCCCTAGTCCAGGCACTTTCTAGATTAAGGAATTTTTAGTTTTTAATATAATGTACGTGCAAGGTTATTTATCATTATTTGTTAATTTTATCTTCATTACTCTATAAATTTAATTTCATAGCTCATTATATATTTCTCTTCATCCTCATTTTAGTAAAATAGTTGAAGGCCAAGTATCTTATAATAAGAATTAAATGGAGTATTTTTTGTTTTATTTTTGTTCAATCTATTCTATGCATTTCAATAGTATTCTAAAAATTGAAAATGATTATTTTTAATTCATATTACAAGGAAACTCTAGCTATCTCATTAAAACCATTAAACATGATAAAAATCATTAAATTTTGTCTCAAAGTGAAATATTTTTTTTCCAAATTTTTTGATTGAAAATTTTTCTAATTATTTCATATTATTTCTTGTAGTTAATGACTTTAAAGAGAGGTAATATGAAAAAAAAATTAATTAATACCGCATCAAATAATTTATGACAAGAATCAATATTTTTTTAAAGTATCCAATAATAAAAACTAACATTTTAAAAATCTGACTGGTTCTCCTTATTTATTAGGCATCTAGAAATAATTTTGATATTATCATCGACGATAACCCTTTCTTAGGATGCAGAGACCTAATGTTTTCTGATATGACCTAATTTTTTATTTCTATCATTATATTACATAAAATAACTATTATTATATTACATAAAATAATATTATTTAATTATAAGTAAAATACTATTTTTTATAATTGTTCTTCTTTAACTTGTTGTATTGTTTAACCCCTATATGTAAGGAGTATTTACTCTAATTTATTTTTAATTTTTAATCAAGTTTGGCATGGATGAGAATCAAATAATTATCTATAAATATTATTCTATTTATTATGTTTATCTAGTAATAGAACTGAGAATTTATATATGCCTGAATTTTATTTTTAAAAACATTTTAAATTTAATTTTTACTTTAAAATTAATTATCTTGTTTTATAAAAAATATAAAATATATTTTTTTGGATACTCAAATGATGTATAAAACTCAAAAAAAAATTTTAAAACAATAATTGGGTCTTAAAATATAAAAATTAATATTAAAATATATTTTTAATATTATTTTGAGATATTTTATAAATTAAAAATAATAAAAAATGAAGATATAAATATTTTAAATTTTTTTAAAAAAATAACTATAATAATGCAATCAAATATATGGCATTTTATTATAGAATGACATAAAACATAAAGATTTAATTAATATTTATTATATTATATATATTTTTTTAAAATATTATTTTTTATTTGGTATTTGGGCTTATTTGAATAGGTGTTAAATAATAATATTTTTGGACATGCCTCTAACTTTTTTTGATTGGATTGGGTTGGATCCTCAGCAAGTTTGACTTAAATTATTAATTTTAATTTAAATTGTATGTTTACTATATCTATTAGAGCTAATATGTTGATTGGGCTGACTTTATTTCTTTTTTTTTTTAGTGGAAAGAAATTTCATTAAATAAAACTATATACTATATAATATGTACGGGAAAGTTAAAAGCAATTACACGATTAAAAAAAAAAAAAAACCCTATGAGGCTGACTCTTATTTCTCAGCCAACGGTTGGTCTCAATCATTTCTCTTTTACTTGACAACAAAAACTTTTATTTTTTTTTTAAAAAGAGAAACAACTGTTCTGTGTGCTGTCAGATTTCTTTTGTGGAATAATTACCAAAATACGAAAATTAAAAGAAGAGTTTTATGTTTTTGCTATCGTATTTTTTATTATAAAAACAAAATTAATTTTTTTAAAAAAAATAAATATAAATTTTTAGTTTTTATATTTTTTTTTATGTTTTAAGTTCCTACACTTTTAATTTTTATTACTTTAAGTTTTTTTATAAATAAAGTGTAAGGATCTAAAATAATAAAAAATAAAAATATATAGACTTAACATATTGTAAAAAAATACAAGAACTAAAAGTAAAATATAAGTAAAGTATAGAAATTAAAAAATATGTTTTTCCTTTCAAAAAAATAAATCAATTTTGTCCTCATCAAGTGCGATTGTGTCGCAATCAATTTTAATTAAAGACGTAGTGATCGCATGAACTAGATTTGCGACGCCAGAGTAAGCATTTATTTATTATTAATATTTTGTATTTGGACAAGATATGTAAGTCGACTCGGACGGTAGCACGGTGCATTTGCAGAACATATGTTACGCATACGGTGTATGAAAAAATATTTTGTAGATATTTTGTAAAAAGAGAATATTATTTGGGAGAATTACTACCATATCTCACACAAAAAAATTAATTATTATAAAATAAATTAATAATTGAACTAAACTATATTAACAACACAATCAATTGTCAATAAACCTGATAATAATTAATTTTTTTATGTAAAAATTTAATAAAATTCTCCCATATTACTTTATGTTTTGTTATAATAAAAAAATAAAAAATTACGTATAGGTCATTATATGTATAATATCCCTTATACTTAAATATATAATTAGCATACACTTAACCTCAAAATAAAATTACCATAATAATTTCTCATTTTGACCTCAAGCACAAGGTCAATTCTAAAGAGGCGGGCAACGTTAGTGTTCAGTCCACAGAAATGCACAATGATCTATTGGGCTCCAATTCTAGAGGCCCAGTGCCCGCAGCCAGCACGATAGTTGGGCCAAGGAGGACCACACGTAGAAGACGATCCACAAGGAAGATTCGCGACTTGGCACTTGAAGAAGCTTAAAAGGCAATGGCTGGAGGATGGAGACGTTATGTTACTGATTTGAGAAATCTTCGTCTGACACTCTCTCTCCTTCTGAGCATATTTCTGTTATCATGCTTTTCCTTTTCTGTTATGCTGCGTTTTCCGTTATGCAGAAGAGCTGTAACCAATAATAAGACTCGACTACTTTTGAATCCATTACTTTCTTGCATTCATTTTGTGACTCTGACAAAATGGAGTGTCAACTTCACAAAATCAACCGTATGTGGCGCCATTAAGGTAGATTTACAAAACATGAGAGATCATAACATAAAGACTTAACATAATGTGTTTGTGTTCAAATGAAACTGACAATTTCCACGGCGGGGAAAAAAGAATTAAGATCAACGTTCACCCTATACTTGATTATAATCACCCACCCATTTCGTCGATGGTTTCAACAACTTTTTCACCAGTGTAACACGCGCGCGCGTGTAAATGTGCGCTAGGACAATGCTAACGTACAAATTATGATGCACGAGATGATTAACAGGCAAAAGCACCATGGAAATCATTCTTATATACTCCCTCTGTAAAAAAAATATAAGTCATTTTTTAAAGAGTTAAATATTAAAAAATTTAAAATATTTTTAAATTTTTTAGGTTAGGGATGTAATTATTATTTTTTTATTTTTTTAAAAATACCTATTGAATGAATTACTTTATATTTATTTTAGGATAAAATATCTTACTAAGTAGAGGTACATATAAAAAGATAAAGTTAATTTAAATATAAGTAATTACTTTATTGAAAGGTAAAATTCAGATAAAAATACTTTACATTTTGAACAGAGAGAATATCTTTTTGTATGCAACTATATACGGTAATGTTTTTGTGTTTCATTTTTTTGACATTAATATAATGGAGTTTTTTTTTTCACTTGATATGATAAGTATAAAATTTAAACTGATATATTTTACAAATTAGCACAAGAAATCAAGAATAACCACGCTCAATTATTCACCGTAGATTTGTTCTATTAATGTTGTCATATATGTCGCTTTGCTTCCATTGAGATAGCAATTGAACTACTGTTGAGGCCAGCAACGAAAAATGGAAAATACATTCTTTATTTATTAACTGTTATAACTAGTTAACCGTCTTGTACATGACCACAGATGTAAATCTTCATAACGATTGGCCGTGCAAGTAAACTTTCTGCAATAATCAGACCATAGGACATTCATGCTGAGACTAGATCCTGGATCTGTAGACCGTAATTCTCAGTCTTCTCCTGCAACAAAAAGAAAAACATTAAATGTTAATTAGCTTTTCCGCAATTAATTAGCCTTTCAGCAATTAAGAAGTACATTTTTATTTTATTTTATTTAATAAAAATATAAAATAAAATAATACTTTAAAAATGGACAATCTAAATTTTCAAATAAAAATCTGAATGGTCTAAATCTTATCACTCACAGTAGAAAGTTCTCCTCGGTTATCAAAAGAGAGAAAGAAACAGAAAAGCGTTAGTGGCTTGGTGCCTCATTTCCAACTATCCCCCTTCGTACACTCCAGCATACTCTCTGGTGATGGGAGCTTTCAAAGAAAATCCCTGCCTCTATCCCTACGAGAAGAGAATTTTTGTCGTCCGACCACCTCACCGGCAAGATTTCTGGATGTCCCGCTGGTTGCTTCTTTTCTTGTTCTCCGATCATCCAAGCTTACCCTCACCCTCATCCACGACACCAGCCTCCTCCTTATCCTTTTCTGGTCAATGTTAGAGTGCTCAATCAATTTGATGATGCAAATAAGCAGACAAATGTTGAAACTCTTGATGAAGCATCTCTCGATGATGCAAAGAAGCAGAGGTAAGCAAATTTTCCTGACATAATTCCTGCTAAAGAACAGCTGAAATAGGTAACTTTTATGTCATTTGCGTTGCTTCCTTTTCTCGTCAATGCCGGAATGCTCAATTAATTTGATGATGCTAATAAGCAAACAAATGTTGAAACTCATGCAAAGAAGCTAAGGTTAACCTATTAAGACGTATTCGCTTATATAATCAAGATCCTCCCTAATTTCTAAATATTGTAAGTCTAATTTCATATGCATGTACTATTTTGGGAACTATATTGTGGATCTCTAGTTTAATTTCCACTCTATTACTACAATCTAATGATGATTATTCTGGAAATTCAAAAGGTATTTTCATTTATTTAAAGTTCAATGAAATAAAATGACTGAAAGTGAACTCCATTTGATTATTGAAACCAGCAGCCTGATGATGTATATATTTACTTGACGACGATTCAATCAAATAGCTTTTCTAAGAGAATAGAATCATTGGCACATGGACATGGCTGTAAAGCTCATCCACCCATAAATGGAGTGTTAACTTTAGAAAATCAACTGTATATGGTGCATCAAGATAGATTTACAAAACATGAAAGATCGTAATGTAAGACTTTAGATAATGTGTTTGTGGTCACATGAACATGAGAATTTCCACAGTGAAAAAATTAAGATCGACGTTGACCCTAAACTTGATTATTAATTATCACTCATCCATTTCATCGATGGTTTCAACAACTTTTTCACCTGTGTAATATATATGCCTGAGTGTAAATGTGCGCTAGCGAGAGCAATGCTAACGTACAAATTATGATGCACGAGATGATTAACAGGCAAAAGCAACATGGAAATCATTCTATATACCTTTTTTGCATGTGACTATACGGTAATTTTTGTGATTCATTTTTTTTGACATTAATATAACGGACTTTTTTTTTCCATTTAATATGATAAGTAAAATTTAAACTGATATATTCTAAAAATTAACACAAGAATAACCACGCTCAATTATTCACCGTAGTATTAATGTTGTAATCCCTCTGAACGCTTGCTTCCATTGAGACGTCAATTGAACTAATGTTGAGGCCAACAATGAAAACCGGAAAATACATTCTTTATTCATTAACAATTATAACTAGTTAACGGGCCATGCACACAAACTTTCTGCAGTAATCAGACCTTAGGACATTCATGATGAGACTAGATCCTGGGTCTGCAGACAATAATTCTCAGTCTTCTCCTGTAACAAAAAGAAAACATTAAATAGTAATTAGCTTTTCAAATTTCAAATTATGATCAGGTTCTTGTTAATAACCTGGAGGAGGCAGCTAGAAGGGTGGTGTTTGATGAAAATGAAAGTGCTGCACCGTCCAACAGGGAAGGTATCATTGCAGTTACTTCCAGAACCTTTCTTATTAGAGTAACCTTGATAATCGCATCTATAGAATGGCACTTCCTTAGCCAAACACAATCCAACTTCCACGGCGTGGGGAAAGTTGAAGACGATTCGATCAAAAAGCTGGTCTGCTGGAGAAGGATGTTTGTTCATTGTGTGTGCATCCCCATTGTGTAGAATGGTGCAGCCCAGCTTCTTCAGCTCAAGCAAGTTGTCAAGGGCTCTTGAATAGTAGTTCATGATCAACTCACCTGATACAAATAATCCACAACAATTGTCTGGTTTATAAGTATTTCAATACTATTCAAGAATCTAAAAATACAATACTAATGAGAGGAATATATATAATACACCTTTAGAGTCGAGAGATGTGGCGACCATGTTAGAGGCAGAGCCGAAGGCCTTAGCCAAGCACAGTGAGAATGAGAAATCTCCCTCTCCCACCAGCAGTATCTTATGCTTGCTGCTGTAATGCTTTATCGTTTTCTCCTCCATTTATGCTTCCACACTTAACATTAAATTAAACTTACTGTAATTGTAGAATCAAACTGTCAAGGAAGATGATATGCATGCATGTATATACACACACGCCCAGAGACATGAAAGGGCACCGGGATCGATTGGATAATTATTTAGTGCATCATACTCAGCAATTTGAGTTTTGGATAAGTTCAATTGGATGCATTTTGGGAACTGTGGTGCTTTCTTTTCATGATTAATTTGATGATAAATATTATTGGAACTAGGCATATTTTGATTACTTATTTATAGTTTTTGTTTTAACATATCATTGTTATGATTTACGGATGTCTAGGTGAAAAGTTTAATTTGGTCCGTTGTGCCTCGTCTGCTTCTCAAGCACTGGGTTTTATTAAATTAAAAAACTAAACTCACTGTAATTGCAGAACGAGGGAAAATGACACACACACACACAGAGACATGGAAGCGCGCTGCGATCGATTAGATAATTATTTAATTAATTTTTGGGTAAGTTCAATTGGATGTATTTTGGGAACTGTGGCGCTTCCGCTTCATAATTAATTTGATAAATATACTTGGAATACACAAGGTACAACTTGATTTCTTATTTAGTATTTAAATTAAGTTAATTTATTTTTTTTAACTTGTCAATGTTGTTACCATGATTTAGGTCCAGTAAAGATTAAAAAATTGTGGTGCGCTGTGCCTCCACTGCTTCTCAAGCACAGGGTTTAGGAAGATTTGACATTGACATTGTAAAGCTCGAGTGTACTGTTTATCTAATTGGAACGGTATGGTCGAAATTAAAAGATTTTTAATATATTTGGATATTCATATTATTCATTATTCTCTCGTTCAAGCAATCACCCAATTCAATTGGCAACCAAAAAACAAATACCTTCTAATTAAAAAGCAATTATGTTCTTTTAAAGATTTTTAAAATGATAAATTTATTTTTTATAAAAGTAATAGTCAAAATATTATTTTTATTTTAAATTCCATGTCTATTGCACCTTGGATGCAGCTATATTTAAAAAAAAAAATGCTTGGAAGGAATTTCATGATGATATAATAGTACTCTGTTCTCGAATACTAGTAATTATCATCACTTTGGAGATTTTACTTTTTTTAAACAAATTGTCACTTTGGTTTTCAAGAAAGCATTAATTAATTTTTTGACAATTTTATCCTTCAACAAATGTGAAGTATTTACCCATCACCCTAGTAAATAACGACACATATATATACATATATATATATATTTGTTACAAAAAAGTTAAGTGAATTATGTCCCAAAAGCTAACCAAGGTTCAGGATATGTTTTCAGACTTAAAGAATGCTTACAAATATATTTATAAATTTTTCATCAATAAAGCCCTCACATTAGCAGCACGATTTGATTATATAACTTTATGAGTTATTAGTTAAATTTTTACCAATTGGACCAACCTTTGCTGATAAATAAAGATATTTTAATAAAATAATGTTACACCAGTTTATTGGGCTTGTGCTTTTGTTGGGCTAATAGGGCCCAAAAGTTGAGATTAAGTAACAATACCATCTTTCACCCCCTCCAAAAAAAAAAAAAGAGGACAAAACATCTACCGCGAGTTGGAGACAAGGAAAAATGACATTTAAAATTTAGAATTAGAATTAAAATAGAAATCACGTAAGAAAATTAAGGGCATGTTTAATTTCTATTTTTAATTTTAATTTTTAAATTTTTTCTTTAATATAGTTTTAAAATTATTTTTTAAAAATAAAATAAAAAATATGTTTAATTGCATTAATTTGAAAACAGTTTTAAAATTAAAAAATTGGCTAATAATGATGGTCACTGATGATTAATGTTGGCATCTTATTATAATTATCTTTATGTATTTTGAAAATAAGAAAAAGAAAATGAAAACAACTTTAAGATATTTTAATTTTTTTGTTTTTTTAAAAAATGATAACATATTTGGAAATAATTTTATTCAAAATATTTATCGAAATAAGATTTTTTATTTTTATTTTTATATTTAAAATGAAAATTATTTTTGAAAATAAAAACCAAACAAGCCCTAAATAAAAAAAATATAACAAAATTTTATATATCTCCATAGATCCACAATTGCATTGAATAAAAAGATACATAAGAATTCAAAAAATTAAATTAAATAAAAAATGTTTCATTCTCAATAATATATATTAAAATGTAAAGCAATGGCATAAAATATTAGAATGGAAATTTGTTCAAAGTTCATTGTCGTATTATAATCATCTTCATTGTTCATTACCCAATGCCGAATGGTGAGTTGGTGCGTTAAGCTTATGTAGTTTATAAATGTAAGAAAAATATAATTATTAGTCCCTTTAGTTTTATTGGACTTTACTTTTAGTCTTTATAATTTTTTCAGTGTTTTTAATTCCTATAATTTCAATAAATTAAATTAGGTAATGTTTATTTCTCAAATCCTTAATAATATTAAATTACAATAACTATGAAAATTTAAAAAATTACAGGAATTAAAAATAAAATTATAGGCACCAATGACGATGTTTTCCAGAAAATAAAATCATAAGTTTTTTATTTTCTCTCCGGCCAGACTGGGAAAGACCGAGTCTAATTGTTTTCATTGACCAGCAACAAAAAATATATTTTTTCTATTAAAGTAATTGTGTTCTTTTTCTACGATGTCATGCATGTCGAAGCTAGCAGTCGTCATCGTCATCCTTGTAAGTTATTAAACGTACGGCACCAAAGATGAGTGGTAGGCACCAATGATGAGTTTGTACGTGGAACGTTAAGTTCATAAGAAATTAAAAAAAAAAATCACATTGCTGAATTCAATTATACAAATGACTAAATAGGATAGGCAAATATATTTTTTTATATTTAAGTTTCAAACTTCAAATATAATAAGGTCATGTTTGATAGGCTAGAATCCTAAACATGAAAATAGAATTAGGGATAGGAATTTAGATAGAGTGATATTTGGTATCTCAAAAATTCTGATTTTAAGAAAAAAGGCAAAATCAGATTCTCCCCTTACTTCTATGGAATTGAGCTAGACTCCTTAGAATTCAACCTTATTTCTCTTTTACCCTTCAGCTCTTTGATCAACTGCTATCAAACTACACTGGCTCCCCAATTTCACCGCTTTGTTGGTGACAAAGGTAAAGGATGAAAGCACCTCATGATCCATTGTCATCAGACTCCACAATTGATTTGCAACCATTGTTGTGCGATCTACAACTATTGCCTCCACTTTTGTTGCCCACCATCACCTCATCTCTTCCATGCCATCAACAAGGCATTTCATGGGTGACAGGTTTTGATTTTTCTGCAACTCCTCTCTTTTGTCTTCTTCTTCTTCTTCTATTTTATTTGTCATGGGTTGCCGTGGGATCAAGTGCTAGGCAATGATTTATCTCCAATCTCCATTGTCAGTCTCTTTTAGCCATTACTTCGATATTTATCCTGCACAGCAAGTAGGTTAAAGTATTAAAATTGGAAGTGGCTTGTATTAAAATTTGAAGTGGCTTTGTGAAACATTAGAGGCATAATTAATTTATTTGAATGGTTGATGCTAGTTTTGTGTGATAATGAAAGAAGGTTGTGGTGGGTTTAATGGCCATAATTGATTTTGTTCAACAAACGAGGAGGATTGGTTTTGCATGGTGTTCAATGATTAGAAATGAGAGGGATGCTGAAAGGGATAGAGGAGGTCTTTTTTATTTTCAATATATGCACCTATTAAAATTATATTAAGATTCCATTTTCATACTAAACATATTTTTATAACTCAATTATATTTCAATTTCAATTTCAATTTTATTAAAAATTATTCCATCATACTAAACGGGACCTTAGTTCTAACATGGTTTCTACCCTTTCTATTAAGTTGAGTCAAAGTAGTCCCTCCTTTTATATATTTAAGTTGGTGTTAATATGTATTTATCTTCCTATACTTTCTTTCAAGGAGTGCTTTGAGCATCCTATATTAATAATAAGATATTTTTTCCTTTAAACTATTTTTTAAAAGAGCAAAAATCTTTCTCCTTTAACGGATCATTAATGGAGAGATATTTTTACTCATCTGAAAAATAGTTTAGGAAGAAAATTTTTCATTTATTAGTACAGGGTATCCAGCACTCTTTGAATAAATGTTTGGAGAAAAAATGCACTTTACCCATAAAAGAAATCAAATGATTATTTGGTATCCTTAAAATTGACTTTTTCTTTAAAAAGATCCGTACCTCTTAGCAATTGCTAGTGGCAGTATATATTTTCTTTAGTTTGGAGATATAAAACCATTGAAAAAATTATTTTAAAAAATCATTTGAGCATTATCAATTGAATTAGATAAACTAAGAATGTTCATAATTTTTATAAAACTGAGTAGTATACTAAACTTCTTTGAAATCAAAATAATTGTATATGTGGCCATAATAATCTATGAAAAACTTTTGGTTGTGTACAGAGAATAACTTCAAATAGTTGTAGTTAATATTTTGTGAATTTTTATTTGGCTATAAACAATTTCATTTTTTTCTTTATGAATAATCGTGATGGATTTTGTAGCTATCAAAAGTAACTCATAATACTTTGTCTTTTTTGGAATTTGTTAAAATAAAATTTCACACGTCTTCTTTTTTATAGGGTAGAAAAATTACTTTTATTGTCTTAGTAATGTTTTTCCTTTAAAACTCTAGTTTTAAAAGACAAATTGCCATGATATATTCTTTTGGAATGTATTCGCTAGGGTTGGTTTTATTGGGAACATGATCATATATCTTTAATGATCGGTCTATTTTTGGCTTAAGGTTAAATGCATTTTTTTTCATGTACATTCCTTGAGAAGCGCTAGATAACTTGTACAAATGAGTGAGGCGCATTTTTTTTTCTAAACTATTTTTCAGACTCCGTTAACATATCTATCACTAAAAGATGGGAGAAATGTCTTACTTATATTGGTATAGGGTGCCCATCAATCCTAAAAGGAAAGTACATGAAAAAAAACACTTTAACTCATTAATTTACTTTAATTTTAATTACCTTATTAAAAATAATGAGAGGGGTTAAAATATTTATAATATTTAAAAGATAATTTTTTTAAACTACTATTATATATGGAATCCCGATTGAAAGAGGGGTGTTTTGGCAATCTAATTATTACACCATGATAAAACACTAGAGCTTGAGGTTGACAATTGACAGAGTTTCTCCTTGTTCCCAACTCCTCTTGGTTGCATCTTAATAAGAAAAAAATTAATATTTAACGTGATAAGAAAACCTATTATTACTTGCCACTTAACTCGTGTTAAAATATAATGCATTTCTTAAGGTTGAATAATAAAAAATATAATATATTTTTAGTAAAATGAAAAAATAATATTTATTAATCAACACAAAGTTGATTAACTTCACTTTATTTTGAAGAGCGATAGGAGTAAATATTAAGAAAAATATATCTGCAAGTTCTTATTGTTTTCTTCAATTATTAAGTTTTTGTGATTTATTTTATTTTAATTGAGTCCTTATATTTTGATCTGTTAAATTTTTCAATCCCTAAAAATTAAAATCCTCACTTATTATTTTTAAAAAAATTACCAACCTCATATTTTTATTAAATGATTTTATAACTTTATAATTAATTACATAATCTTTATAACTTAAAATTTATACAATTAAATTTTTTTAAATATTTTTTATATTAATAGAATTTTCATAAAAAATTAATAAAAATTCAAACAACACATGGAATAAATATTTTTTATTTTTAATAAAATTATTAAATTAAATTTTTTTAAAACTCTAAGATTATTTTTATTTTAAAATTTAATAATTTATTATTAGTTTTTAACTGTAATGATTAACATATTTAGTACATCAAACTATAAGGGCTTTATTAAAATAAAATAAATTACATGAATTTTATTATATGAAAGAATAACTACTCAATTATTTAATTACCCTAAATTTTTATCCATTAAGGTGCCCCTTTAAACGCTTGCTTGCATTTTTTTTTTTCGGAATAAATAAGGCCACTGTAAAAGTCATACGATTTCAAACAAATTGGGCAAAGTCTCATCGGTGGCTTATTAAAAACTCTGATATCAAGACTATTGGTTGCATTAAGATATCAATGGAAGACTACTATTGAGGCCAGCAACGTAAACTGGAAAATACATTCATTATTATTTATTAGCTATTATAATTACAACTGGTTAACAAGCCAGAACATTCATTCAACAAAGCCCTGTGAGTAAATAATTATTTAAATCTTCATAAGGGTTGGCCATCTACTGATGCAAACCAGACATTTATGCCAAGACTAGAAGATCCTGGATCTGCAGACAATTCTCAGTCTTCTCGGGTAACAACAAAAAGAAAACATTAAGTTGTTAATTAGCTTTTTCGTAAATTTCAAATTTCAAGTGTAAAATCCAGTGTTTATAATTAATTAATAACCTGGAGGAAGCAAGAAGGTATCATCGCAGTTAGTTCCAGAGGCTTTCTTATTTAGAGTAAGCTTGATAATCCCGTTCATAGGATGGCACTTCCTTAACCAAACACAAATCCAACTTCCGCGGCTATCTCCTCTATTTTCCTCACACAGAATGGATATGAAGTTTGGTATGTCACATGAATTTCTCTGCCTTCACTCACCATTTCTCTGCTATTCTTCATAAGCCCTCTCACCACCTGCCTATAAGTGACGTGATGCACCGAGTTTATCTAAGAATTTCTCTTTTCTAGAAGAGTTAGATGACATTTATTATAATTAAGTATTTTTTTTAATATTACACTTGTTTAAAGTCATTAATTAGAAAATGTTAAGCAAATTTAAATTTTTTCCATTTGAATATGGGTGAAATAAAAAATTTATTTTCAGGACAAAATTAATAAGAAAAAATAATAATAAAATCTCTTTAAATTATGTAAATGACATTTTAGTATCTCAAAATATCATAATTCCCGTGAAGTTTTTAAAAACTTTTTTGTCATTAAAAAATTAATATAAATGACCAAATTGCTCTTAATTTAAATTTATGAATTGCTGTTGAATTCTTACGGTTTTAAAAAGAAAAGTCATGAATTTTAAAACAAAACTTGTGAATGCTAATTGATATTTGCAATACTTAAGAATATCAAAATTTCAAGTGTAAACTTGTGAATTGCTATTGAATTCTTGTGATTTTAATAAAAAAAATAGTAGATCTTAGAACAAAAATTGAAAATAGCAATTGATATTTGAATTAAGAAAAATTTGGTCATTTAAATTAATTCTTTAATGACACAAAAATTCTTAAGAATTTATAGTATTTTGAGGGACCAAAATGTCATTTATATAATTCAAAAAATTATTATTATTTTTCCAATTAATAAATTATCCACTTTTATATAATTATAGTAAGGTGATTAATTAGACCTGACTAGCTTGTAATACGATGGGAAGGAATATATTTTAATCATTTTGACATTTTTTCCATGCTATGATGAAGCCTAGAAATTACCAGGTGAGCAATATGGAGCTTGAGACTGGCAATAAGTACCCACATGCCATTAAATTATGGGCCTTTCCCTTTTGACCAAATTATATTAATCTTAATATTAATATTAGTAATATTTAATTTGAAATATAAAATATAAAACAAATCACACCGTTTGTGAATGCTGATTTTCCAATATATATTATATTAATTCTACGAACTTGTTTCAAATGTCTTATGGCTAGCTAGTAGACTAGTGAACTGTATATATACAATAACGCACCACAAATTTGACCAGACCTTGAGGGGATCTTTCTTACCACTAGAGTGCAAAATTTGATTTTTCAAATAAATCAATTATGATATATGTGTGCGTCTATTAAACCTGAAGCGTATGGGTTTAGTTTTTTCATGAAATATTTCTCGCACGTCCTGGTACACGAAAAGTAAATAAAACAGAGAATTTCAATAATGGAGTTATGTAAGGATTTAATTTTAAACGAAGAAATTCATTGAAAATATATTTTGATAGGAAATGACTAAAATACCCTTCCCTTTTTTAGCAAGTTATGTTAGAATTTTAACAAATACATTTCATGTTTTAACAAGCTAACAATATTAAATATGTAAAAGATATTGTTAACAAGTTCCATTAATAAATTCACGAGACAAGTTGTGTTAGGATATTAGCAAGTCTACTTTATATTATAACAAATTAATATAACTGAATAGGTAAAATGTATTGTCAAAAAATTAAGAAGTAAGAATTTAGATTTTTAATATTTAATGTAAAATATTCATAAACAATAATATTTTATTTAAAATATTCAAATTTTAATTTTTCTTTTAATTTTATAACTTTAGTTACTTTGAAAAATTATAATTGAAAGGCTAATTTTGTTTTCTTTCTATCCATACCACACCTCATCCTTACTATATGATCTAGCCTCAAGTTACTGACTTTAAGTGTTTGTACTTGAAATTGCAAGACGGATCTAAATCTAATTAATAGTGTTTAGGAAGAGTAATTCATTGACTCTCCCCTAAAGAAGTTGACAAAACTTAAAAGGATAGTTTATCAACCGACACATTATATATATATATTGAAACACATATTATGACAAAATTAACTCTAATTAAGTCGTAGATAAATGGATTAACTCATTTTTAAACTCCTTTTAATTCCTGGGAACTGGTTATTATTAATTATTAATGTATAAATACATGGAAGTTTTTATCGTGGTTGACGTTGATAAATATATATACACTAGCAAGTTTAGCTTGATTTTTTTTTTAAACAGAGCAAGTAGCTTGATTCAATGAGTCTTATAATAAATACATGGCTTCCGTGTCTGGCGGGCTGGCACGTCCACATTAATTTACCAACTGTGGACCAATTAAATGACAAATTTATATTCCAACCGCGCACGGCGCACGTATAAATATAGTGTGTGTGTGTGTGTGAAACCCATCGAACACTTTATAGTCAAGCACAAAGCCCAACCAAGACGGGCTTGATTATAAGTTTTGCTTGTGCCAAGCAGCATCAACGCTTTATCAAGCATGAAGGTGAGACCAATGATAATTTTGTGTATGTGTGTTTATAGTTTTGTATTCGTCAAACGAGAGGTGCATAAATAACTGAACTTTGAGTTTTAATACATTGCAGCGGAAGATAGTTATACAGGTGCCCCTGAGCTGTGAGAGTTGCAGAAGCAAGGCCCTGAAAATCGCGTCAAAGGCTACAGGTGATTCTTGCATGGATGAAGTAAATTCTTTTCAGTTCGATCTAGGATTATCAATTGGCATATAATAATTCATGCATGACATGGTAGGAAAAATCTAGTTCTTTTTGAGTTTTCATAAACATTGTACTTGTATATCTGGTATGTATATTCAGCTGGACAGACTTATTGTTTAGAATCATTTGTGAACATTATGCATGCAGGTCGGGTGAATTCGGTGGCGCTAGAAGGAGCAGATAGGGATCGAGTGGTGGTGGTCGGAGAAGATGTGGATTCGGTGTGTTTGGCTAAGGATTTGAGGAAGAAGTTCGGCCATGCCACCATTGAAAGTGTGGAAGAAGTGAAAGAGAAGAAAGAAGAAAGGAAAGAAGAGAAGCCTCAAGAATTGCCTTGCTGTTATTATTGGCCTCCATGTCCCCCTTGCCCCCCCTACGTTATTTGTGAATACCCTGTTGACAATGGTAGTTGCACCATCATGTGATTGGAGAGATCAGATTCAGATAACTTTCTCGTATATTATGAGTGCCAATATAATTGAGTTCAATCTGTAAGTTTTCATTCTGCGCACAAATAAGAAGATTGTGTAAATCCGTGTTCATTTTTTTCTTGGAAGGAATGAATTTCATATTCACAACTCATTCACACTGTTATTATGAGCACAAATCTAAAATGAGAGCTTATCTGAAAAGAGAAAAAAAAAAAAACCAGCCTATTAACTAGTATGAGAATGATGGGTGAAGTGTCATAGAATATTGTCAGAGACGTTAGCTCTTGAATGAGATGGCATTATAAGTCTCATGTCGAGAAACCTTACAAATAGAATAGGATTTATAAATATAATGGATCCTCTCCCATTTAATATAATTGTAACTTAACATATTCAATAGTTAAACAATCATGTATTATTAACAAAGTTTAACATCTTTTTAAAATGTTTACAACTATTTCATCAGTAATTTACAATTATAATTTTAACTTTTTACAACTGTAACTTCACATATTTCATATTTAAAATAATCAATTTAATTATTAGATATATGAAGTTACAATTATAAAAAGTTGAAGTTATAATTGTAAATTATTGATGAAGTAGTTATAAATTATTTGATTGATGTAATGTATATATATTTAATAGAGGCATTATTGTCTTTTTATTTTAGTTTCAAATTACACTCAGGTTTCAAGAGGTTTAGTTGTAGTTTCTGAATTTCATGGAATTTATTTATAAATAAGTCTACTCCACCAGACTTATATGTAATTTTCTCTTAATTTTTTCTGCACCTCCACATGCTAATTGATTATACATGGCCCTGTTTGGTTTACTTGGGGTGGTCTAAACCTAACTTGGAAGGTAAGAAGTCCATTGTCCCATTAATATCATGATGGATAAAAATTAATACAACACCGTCTGGGGTTGCTGCCACTGTTTGTTCCGTCGAAGTTGACGGAGAGCTTGACGGAGATATGGCCAAAGCTATGTTTGGGGTTCAAACTCAAATAGCTCATTGCAAAGCACATGGAAAGGGCTGCGAGTAAAGTCAGAGACAGAGATAGATGGATAGATAAATAGGTGGGTTGAGATAAATGCCCGGAACGTAAAGTGCTCCTACGAAGAATTGCAATAAAAATTTAATATTGGGTTCATTCGGGAAAAAAAAAATATTGGGAGATGAGTACTATCAAGACTTACGAATTTATTTTAGCTTTTTATAATTGAATATTTTCAATTTTATTATTTAATTCTGTCTTTTTAAATCTTAAGGTTTTTTATTTATCAATGCATTTTATATTTATAATTTATTTTTTAAAAATTATAATTTTAAGTTTAATACTCGGCTTTGCATATGTTTCCTTCATCAATATAATTACTCAGTTTTTCTAATAATGAACTTTATTTGATTAAAATATTCTGTCGGTCCTTGTCATTTTTATTACTTCCATCCTGTTATTCATGTGCTTCAACTGACACTACTTGATGACTTTTTTATTACTACCGCCTGTTCAAAATATTAATAAATCCGTAAACTTATTAACAATTAAGAGGTTTGGGACTTGACAATAATTTGTGCATTTAGTGAGATTTTATGATATTTGAAATCATTATAAGGGACTTGACAATATATAATTCTCTCAAATATAGACAGGCCGAGAAAGGCCAACTACAACCAGCAATAAAAAATAAAAAAATGAGAATTAGTTTATACTCCTACCATTCCTATAGGTGAAGTTATATACACATGTCCTGCCATTCCTACCTATAGGTGAAGTTTTAAAATCCTACTTTTTGGTAGTAATTACAGGACAAAAATATAGTTGTTAATATTTTTTCACAATTTGCCGCTCCTTAATTGAGTCAAGTTGTTGGCAAACATTTAATTCTTAAATAGTAGACATATTTTATTATAAGTTTAGGGATATTAATAACTCTAATATTTCTTAAGAACCGTGAAATTAGTTAATTTTGCCTTGTAATTAGTACCTGAGAAAGTAGTCAACTACACTAACATTTCCTATACCGTTCCAGTTCTAATTACAAGGTAAAAAGAATGATTTCTTTGTCATATTTATAAGGTATGTTATGCATCCTAAAGGAGGGCACAGGGATCCATTTGTCAATCTCTATTAATTAGTATTTAGTGTAATGTAATCTTACGCTCATCGATTCCTGGGAGTATGCGTATTGGGAACTTTACGTTGATCGGGCTTCCACTTCATGAGTACTATCTAATGATGAATGTACTCGGAATTCGAAAGGTTTCTATTTTCATTTTAAAGTTTCAATGAAATAAAAGGACTGAGAATTGAGAGCTCCCTTTGATTGATTGTTGAAACCGCCGGTTTCTGGCCGCCAATGAATCGAGCCAGAGAAAAATATTTATTACTCTTCTCATTTTATTTATAAATCACTTTTAACATAATTTATAAATATTAAATAAAAATTTTAAAATTTATTAATTTTATTTTAAAATTTAATAAGTTTTTAACGTTGTCCTCATTAAAAATACACATTTTAATAATATATTTTTTCTCTCTAATATTTAATAAAGATTAAAAAAAATTTATAATAAAAATTTAATGATATAATTTATAAATATAACAAAAAATTTTTTCTCAACCTTATAAATAAAATAAAAAAGAGTATACTTTATCAATGCTCGAGAAATCCCGCTTTTGGGAGTATTCAAGAGTCATATCATATATAGTATAATTATATAGGGAGGGAGGGAGATTTGAGCTTTCATATCTGTGTGATTGTAATATAAGGCACTGCCTCAGTTTTTGTTTATAAAAAAAAATTATCACTTTTAATTTATTTTTTTAAATAAGTAAAATCACAATTTTTAATAAGCATTTATTATAAATTTTTCTAAATTACCCCCTCATAATTTTATCATCTACAGTCATAAAAAATAATTAAAAAAACTTAATTAACATAATTAATTAAAGGTATTTTAGTCTAATTTTTTATTTTCAGACATAATTAATATGTTTAACTAATTTTTTTAAACTACATAATATAATTTTTTTTCTTTTATAAATAAAAACAGAGAGAGTATAATGGAAGGTGAGGTATCATAAATTAATTACTAACGATACCATTAAAGCAAATATATTACTATAGTCTCCATACAATGAAGCATTTTTAACTTTATTTTCAGGGTAATTGACAATTACTTCCTCCGTCCTTATATATAACATGTTTTTAACTGAATCACATAAATTAATAACAATTAGTTATCTAATTAAAAGTATAAAAATATTTTAATTTTGTCCCTAATTATTATAAATAAAAAATGAATCTCTTTTTTTAAGGTAAGTTAATATTAAGTACTTATCTTTTTTTAATTTAATAAGAGTATAATAATCCATTTATTAAAAAATATGCAATCAACCTCTTATATTTAGGGATAAAAATCTTTTAAAAGATTTCTTATATATGGAGATGGAGGAAGCAGGTCTCAAAATATTAAATTAATGACAGTTAAGTTTTGGACAAATTTTTTTAAAAAAGAAGTTAAAAATATCAATCTAGATAATTATAAATATAGGAATATCAATTATAGATAAGGATTTAAGTATTAAATGTAACTCTTAAATTAAAATAAGATTTTTATTTGTAATTATTTGAACTAATACTCACAATTAATTTTTTTAGAGTCATTTATTCAATTTTTGAGACCTAGCTGTTATTGACCTTTATTTTTAAATTTTTTTGAATGAAAAATGAATTCAAAATCTTAAAAAGATTACATCAAAACAAGATCAAAAAATGACTTCTTCTCATCATCCACCAAGTTACACAATATGATGGTGGTTGATAATGAGCACGTATTTTCATAGTGCCTTAGACCGATGGATACACTCACTGCTTTAAGAGCAAGGTTGGATGTTAAGTCATTTATAATTCTCTCTCTCCTCCCCTATATATATATATATATATATATTCATTAAATAGACAAAAAAATGAAATATTTTCATATTTTTTATGCATAGACGAAGGTTCCATTTATAATGTGACTTTATAATTAAGCCAAGGTCTTTCAATTTGAATCAAACGCAAAAAAAAAAAAAGAAAAAAAAAGTATTGTAAAATGTTTCATTAATAAGGTATTGATAACTATTTCACGGTCTTGAAAAAATCAAGCGAAACCTTAATCACTTACAAAATTTCATCTCATTAAATATCTTATGTTAATGTTTAGGTAATGATAATTGAAAATCTAATTCATGTTTTTTAAAAAAATGAATGAATTAAAAATATATATGAAAAAAATTATAAAAACTACAAAATGTCCAATGTTTTAGGCCAAACTGAATTTTTAGAAGATTCTCTATATATATCGTGTTTTGAAGAGAACAAGAAATTACCTTTCATTTAAAAACAATGATACAAGTTTAAGTTTACCAGCAATGATATGAGTTTAAGTTGGTATCAATACAAAAATGTGTTTAAAATAAATAGGTATTTGTTCTAATAACAAGCTATTTCTGAAAGTTACCAACCATCGTTACCATCAAACAATTAACTTTTTTTTGCCAATATTAAAGAATTAACTTGAATTCATCAGAATTTAATGAGACTTTGGGTATCATGTGACATTGTTTTAAATAAAAAAATGAACTTTACATTAAAAAAAAAGAGTAAAGACTAGGATCTTGATGAAATAAAAGACATATTTACATAATCTAAAGCAAGTTCTTGTATATGTCAGTCATGTTTTTAAGCCAAAATGTGGCAATAAAGTGATTTAACTTAGGATTCACATTTGAGGTTCATAACAAAACACCCAGAAATTCTGACATATCTGTGGCTCAAGGGAAACTAATTTTTTAATTAAAATTTTGATTTATTATGCTTCTTAATTTTGTTAACTCCTTGCCAATTGATAATTCACATCAAAGTAAATATATATATATATATATATAAAACAAACACATACATGTTAATTGTCAGTTGATGTTCATACACCATATAATTTACTAAATTTCGAATATGGATTTTTTGAAATATTCTTCTTTTTATTAGAAAACTGGCAAGACGTTGGGTAGATTTCTTTTTATTTTTTATTTTTTTTGCCAACAAGACGTTTGGTAAATGGTGATAAAAACTTGTCTCCTT